TTGCAAAATTTTTAAAAGCATTGTTATACTCACGGATTTTGTCCTCAAACATATAGAAAAAAAAAGGAATACGTTTTAAAACAAAAATAAAATTTAAACAACGAAAAAAATCCAGAAAAACCCTTAAAAAAATGTCCCCAAACTAGGGAAGATGATGTAAAAGATTGAACATCCAGAAAAAGATTTTTTCAGCTGACAGGGGGAAAAAACAAGAGATGATAATACATTCAAGATAAAAGTGAAGATACAAGGAAAAAAAATAGAGCTTTTGCAGGCACTTAACGAGAGGAAAATGTGTAACAATTGTAACCAAACGATGATATTTTTCACAAAATTTAAAAGACTGTGTTACGTCACTTTCAAATTATAAAAAAAAAATTGCTAGGGATTAAAGAAGGAACCTTATGAAGTTCCGTTGATGAAACAAAACCCCCTGAAAAGAACACCACCAAAAATAACTTTCCTCATTAAAAAAAATATATATAAAAAAATATATAAATATATATATATAAAAATATACTTAATATATATTAAATTATATATATATATATATATTATAAATTATAAAATAAAATATATTTTTATTATCACACGGGCCCATTCCCACCCAACAGGTGGCCCCAAAAAGAAAAACTTTCACCACATTCGCTCCATCACGCTTGCCAAAGGGGGCTTTTCAAACATTTTTAAACTGCAACTTAACACCCCCCTTTAAGTGCAGGGCCCGTACTCCCATCTCCGACTCAAAATCCCCGGGCCCCCGGTCCCTGAATCCCCTTCTAAATGTTACTTTTCCACACCCAACACACTCAAGATTTAAAAAAACCATTGTCTCCATTCACCCATCAAAAACGCTCACCAGCCCCGCTGGAAAAATCCAGCCCCCGCACACAAAACCCCTCCTTTTCCCCCCCCCCAACCCTTCCAAAAAACCGAAACCCAACCCGCCCCCCCCCAGACGATACAACCCGAATCATTTGTTTCGCTCCATTCTCTCTACATTCCAACCACCTCAACAACCCCTTTCCCCAGCCCCGGACAACAGTTTTTTTGGAATCCCCCACCTCCCCAAAACCCCAAAACGAATTCTCTGCAATATTCACACCACACATTGGCCCCAACAAACATCTCCACTGCCTCCACCTTTTCCCCCGCTGCAACTTTACCCCACCTCACACCCATATAAGAGCGTTGTAAAAACAAAACCTCATACATTCCCCTCTTTTCCCCAAGGAAAATTTTGCTCCACAGACTCCTAGGGCCCACTCATCTTTTTCCCCATCAAAACTATGATTTACCCATCTTTTTAGACCCACCCTGACACCCACTCCCAAAAATTTTGAAAACTTCACCTCCTCCATACTCTCCCCCCCAATCTGATATTCAATTTTCATCACCAATCTTTTTTTTTATCCTCATAACCTTTCTCTTTCCGTATTCACCCTTTAAATTTTTCTTTTTGCACCCCTACCAAAATTTATCCACCCAAACTCTGCAGCTTCCCCTTCAGAATCTCCCCAAAAGCACATGTCATCAGCAAAGACAGCTGACAACTCCCACTTTTTGTGTGATTCTTTTTCTTTTAACCCACGCCTTCCAAGACCCCGCATTTACTTCTCTTACAACCCCCTCTATAAATATATTAAACACCACGGGGAATCACACATCCTTGTCTAAGGGCCCACTTTTACTGGAAAAAAAATTTTTCCCTTTCCTACAACTCTAACTTGACCTCACTATCCTCGTAAAAAACTCTTTACGCTTTCATAACCACCTCCTACACCATCACTTGCAACACTCCACATTTCCCCCCCCATCCACCCTGTCATCGCCTTTTTTAAATCCAAAATGCCACAAAAACCCCTTTTAGCCTTTTCTAAATACGTTCACAAAAAATTTTTACGTAAACCCTGGGCCACACACCCCCCACCTTTCCTAAAGCCTCCTTTTTCATCGCACCTATTCTCCTCTTATCTTTAAATTTTTTCAATTTTAAAAATCTACCATACACTTTTCCAGGAAAACTCAACAAACCTATTTTCATATAAAATTTATATATAAAAATTTTTAAAATATAATATATAAATATAAAAATTAATATATAGAAGAAAAGATCACATAAAAAAAGGAACAAAATAGCAAACAACCACTCTGAAAAAAAGAAATTTCCCAAACGCTTTCGGACACTCACATTACAAGGGAATTGATAATGTGAGTTCCGAAAACGCTTGGGAATTTTTCTATTCTTTCAATGGGGTTTTGCATATATATATTTATATATATATAATATATTATATTTAGTGTTTATTTCATTATTTTTACCATTTTTTCGTTTATTTTAGTCAGAATATTAACTAGTTATTTAAATAAAATATTTACTTATGCATATCGGTTTTATTGCTGAAGATTATGATAAAAGAGCAGAATAAGGAGAGGAAAAAATAAGAAATTAAACAATAATTACAAAAAAAAAAATACAAGTACAAAGAAATAAGTGATAAGAATGAAATGAATAAAAGAAATTACCAAAATGAGAAAAAATTAAATGCTAAAGTTTCGAGGGAATATGTACACACCTGATGATGTCTGGATACTTACATGAAAGTCCTCAATGTTTCTTTTACATGTATACATACAAGTATATATATATAATATATATATATATATATATATATATATATATAATATATATATATATATATAATATTCACGCATACACATACATAGTACTTGCGACCAGCGAAGAGGTGGGACCAGGAGCTGTAAATCGAACCCCCAGATCACAAGTACGTAAGTACATATGCAAAGTTTGGCTCGAAAGAGTATCATTCGATTGTGATTGAGAAAAATGCAATTATTATTAAAGTATAAATAGCATATATGATTTATAAAGGGAAAAAAATAGGGAATACGAGAAGCAATGAAGGTTGGAATTAGTCTCTAGCAAATCCAAGGAATGTCTGCATGTTCCTACGTCCAGGTTAAACTAGTACCATTCTCATGTTCCTAAGTCCAGGTTAAACTAGTACCATTCTCATGTTCCTACGTCCAGGTTAAACTAGTACCATTCTCATGTTCCTAAGTCCAGGTTAAACTAGTACCATTCTCATGTTCCTACGTCCAGGTTAAACTAGTACCATTCTCATGTTCCTAAGTCCAGGTTAAACTAGTACCATTCTCATGTTCCTACGTCCAGGTTAAACTAGTACCATTCTCATGTTCCTACGTCCAGGTTAAACTAGTACCATTCTCATGTTCCTACGTCCAGGTTAAACTAGTACCATTCTCATGTTCCTACGTCCAGGTTAAACTAGTACCATTCTCATGTTCCTACGTCCAGGTTAAACTAGTACCATTCTCATGTTCTTACGTCCAGGTTAAACTAGTACCATTCTCATGTTCCTACGTCCAGGATAAACTAGTACCATTCTCATGTTCCTACGTTCATGTTAAACTAGTACCATTCTCATGTTCCTACGTTCAGGTTAAAGTAGTACCATTCTCATGTTCCAACTTCCAGGTTAAACTAGTACCATTCTCATGTTCCTACGTCCAGGTTAAACTAGTACCATTCTCACGTTCCTACGTTCAGGTTAAACTGGTACCATTCTCATGTTCCTGCGTCCAGGTTAAACTAGTATCATTCTCATGTTCCTACGTCCAGGTTAAACTAGTACCATTCTCATGTTCCTACGTTCAGGTTAAACTAGTACCATTCTCATGTTCCTACGTCCAGGTTAAACTAGTACCATTCTCATGTTCCTACGTCCAGGTTAAACTAGTACCATTCTCATGTTCCTACGTCCAGGTTAAGTGTCATCCTTAAGTTTTTATGTCCTTGTTGAGGTAGCTCCTTTCTGATGTTTCTATGTCCTTACATGAAGTACACGTCATCATGTTCTTATGCCCATGAAAGCCTAAGGCATCCATAATACTTTAATTGATTTGCATAAAAGACATACATTGTTTTGATGGACTTAACCTGGTATCCCGTCTTCAACTTCTCGCAGGAAAACATTGAAATGAAGATAATGCATATTTTGGATATGCTATTTCCTTTATTTTGCACCTAAACATGGCAACCTAACCTAAAGAATAAAAGGCACAATACCGTGACTGGAACACACAAATAACCCGCAAGTAGGAGAAAGAAACTTATTGCGGCGTTTCGGTCCTCTTTGGACCAATAACTACTCATTAGCGTGACTATTTAATGGTCCAATTCGGACTGAAACGACTTGGAGGGCCGTGTATAACCTAACCTAACCTTGGTACACTTTATTGAATATAAAATATCTTAATATATCTGAGTGGAAAATGGTGAGTGCCTTCACTTAGAACATCTGTTAGATAACTTTACTGCGACTTTGATAGTTTTGTGTATAGTATCACTGTGTGTATGAAGTGACCAAGATTCTAAACGCCTTAAAAGTGTTTTAAGTGAATACAGTTGTGTTTTCTTCCATCCTTTAAGTTGTCGGTATTTACTGCCTTTTAATACTTTACCCTCTCATGAATTTGCATAACAATGTTTGTGTTCCTTAATGAGTAAATATTCAGATAGCTCTATATTTACATTATTAAATTAGAAATGGAAAGAGACTGACGGAATTTTTCTCTGAATGAACAGGATAGAGATGACAGTGACAAATCCGAGTTGTTGAATGTGGAGTAACTCTTGCCCGAGGACCAGACAACATAGCTATGCTTAATGGTGCCCTTCCTCCGTGAGCCAATCAATGAATGTCGTCATCAGAGACTGGTGCCACGTCAATGGGCGATCGATTCGTGACGAGAGTCAGAGCTCAACATCCGTTGGATCAATCGCCAAAGCCGACGAATCTCTCTTAAAACTTTTATTTGTGTAATTTCGAAGAAGAAAGCAACTCAGAAACGTGTTTACTTGGAGTTATGTTGAGGTTCTAGTGAAGATGTGGCACATGTGAGGCAGAGGACACACGCAGGTAAATCGCACACAGGTGAATTATTTTCTTGCGAATGTTGTGGACTACGGATGTTCTGGTGAATCCCCCCAAACCATCTCAGTCCCAGCAATTTCTGTAAAACATTCATTTACTTGTTGTCAATTTGGATTGTCACACAAATACGGACGCAATAGAAAAAAAACTGTATTGAGTTCCGAGTGTGTGTTTTACAAATGCGTAGCTTTTCGTAGCTATATTGCATGTGCACCAGCTAGTTCCTGTAAAGGAGGACGACTCAAAAAAAATTTAGTGACTTATGCTTTCTGACTTGCTGTACTGCAGAGAATATTTCCGGTAGTGTATAAATGTAATTCCGCAGACGTATGACTTCCACTCTAGTGGTGACGTGTATACAACATGAGAACTCATGAACCAGTCCAAGTTAACCAACAAAGTCACTGCAAAAAACTGTATTATGTTGCATTTATTAATCCCAGTAGGACTGTTGGCTCCTATACTACTTCTGTTTTAATTTTGGGTTTTTTAGTTTTAATGGGAAACACTTTATGGGACGAAATGTTTTGAATATTCACAAAATTATTGTTAAGAGAACTCGATATTCAATCTTCTTCGACCTCTGCTTCTGTAACTCTTGCATATGTTACTGCTGGTGGTGGTACACTACTGCTGGTGGTGGTACACTACTGCTGGTGGTGGTACACTACTGCTGGTGGTGGTACACTATGCTGGTGGTGGTCACTACTGCTGGTGGTGGTACACTACGGGTGGGGGTGGTACAAACCGCTGGTGGTGGTACACTACCGCTGGTGGTGGTACACTACTGCTGGTGGTGGTACACTACTGCTGGTGGTGGTACACTACTGCTGGGGTGGTACACTACGCTGGTGGTGGTACACTTACTGCTGGTGGGGGGACACTACTGCTGGTGGTGGTACACTACTGCTGGTGGTGGTACACTACTGCTGGTGGTGGTACACTACTGCTGGTGGTGGTACACTACTGCTGGTGGTGGTACACTACTGCTTGGTGGGGTACACTACTGCTGGTGGTACATACTGCGGGTGGGGGTTTACACTACTGCTGGTGGTGGAACACTACTGCTGGTGGGGTACACTACGGTGGTGGTGGTACACTACTGGTGGTGGTGGTACACTACCGCTGGTGGTGGAAACACTACCGCTGGTGGTGGTACACTCCCGCTGGTGGTGGTCCCACTACTGCTGGTGGTGCTACACTACTGCTGGTGGTGGTACACTACTGCGGTGGTGGTACACTACTGCTGGTGGTGGTACACAAATGCTGGTGGTGGTACACTACTGCTGGTGGTGGTACACTACTGCTGGTGGTGGTACACTACTGCGGGTGGTGGTACACTACTGCTGGTGGTGGTGGTACACTACTGCTGGGGTGGTGGTACACTACTGCTGGTGGTGGTGGTACACTACTGCTGGTGGGGGTGGTACACTATGCTGGTGGGTTTGGTACACTACTGCTGGTGGTGGTGGTTACACTACTGCTGGTGGTGGGTACACTACTGCTGGTGGGGGTGGTACACTACTGCTGGTGGTGGTGGGTACACTACTGCTGGTGGTGGTGGTCACTACTGCTGGTGGTGGTGGTACACTACTGCTGGTGGTGGTGGTACACTACTGCGGTGGTGGTGGTACACTACTGCTGGTGGTGGTGGTACACTACTGCTGGTGGTGGTGGTACACTACTGCTGGTGGTGGTGGTACACTATGCTGGTGGTGGTGGTACACTCCTGCTGGTGGTGGTGGTACACTACTGCTGGTGGTGGTGGTACACTACTCCCTGGTGGTGGTGGTACACTACTGTGGTGGTGGTGGACACTACTGCTGGTGGTGTGGTACACTACTGCTGGTGGTGGTGGTTACACTACTGCTGGTGGTGGTGGTACACTACTGTTTGGTGGTGGTGGTACACTACTGTGTGGGGGTGGTACACTACTGCTGGTGGTGGTGGTACACTACTGCTGGTGGTGGTGGTACACTACTGCTGGTGGTGGTGGTACCTACTGCTGGGGGTTTGGTGGTACACTACTGCTGGTGGTGGTGGTAAACTACTGCTGGTGGTGGTGGTACACTACTGCTGGTGGTGGTGGTAACACTACTGGGGGTGGTGGTCCCACTACTGCTGGTGGTGGTGGTACACTACTGCTGGTGGTGGTGGTACACTCCTGCTGGTGGTGGTGGTACACTCCTGCTGGTGGTGTGGTACACTACTGCTGGTGGTGGTGGTACACTACTGCTGGTGGTGGGGGTACACTACTGCTGGTGGTGGTGGTACACTACTGCTGGTGGTGGTGGTACACTACTGCTGGTGGGGGTACACTACTGCTGGTGGTGGTACATACTGCTGGTGGTGGTACACTACTGCTGGTGGTGAGGTGGTACACTACTGCGGTGGTGGTACACTACTGCTGGTGGTGGTACACTACTGCTGGTGGTGGTGGTACACTACCGCTGGTGGTGGTACACTACCGCTGGTGGTGGTACACTACTGCTGGTGGTGGTACACTACTGCTGGTGGTGGTACACTACTGCTGGTGGTGGTACACTACTGCTGGTGGTGGGACACAAACTGCTGGGGGTGGTACACTACTGCTGGTGGGGGTTTACACTACTGCTGGTGGGGGTTTACACTACTGCGGGTTTGGTGGTACACTACTGCTGGTGGTGGTACACTACTGCTGGTGGTGGTAAAACTACTGCTGGTGGTGGACACTACTGCTGGTGGTGGTGGTACACTACTGCTGGTGGTGGGGGTTTACACTACTGCTGGTGGTGGTGGTACACTATGCTGGTGGTGGTGGTACACTACTGCTGGTGGTGGTGGTACACTACTGCTGGTGGTGGTGGTACACTACTGCTGGTGGTGGTGGTACACTACTGCTGGTGGTGGTGGTACACTACTGCTGGTGGTGGTGGTAACACTACTGCTGGTGGTGGTGGTACACTACTGCTGGTGGTGGTGGTACACTACTGCTGGGGGTGGTGGTACACTACTGCTGGTGGTGGTGGTACATACTGCTGGTGGTGGTGGTTACACTACTGCTGGTGGTGGTGGTACCTACTGTGGGGGTGGTGGTACACTACTGCTGGTGGTGGTGGTACACTACTGCTGGTGGTGGTGGTACACTACTGCTGGTGGTGGTGGTACACTACTGCTGGTGGTGGTGGTACACTACTGCTGGTGGTGGTGGTACACTACTGCTGGTGGTGGTGGTACACTACTGCTGGTGGTGGTGGTACACTACTGCGGGTGGTGGTGGTACACTACTGCTGGTGGTGGTACACTACTGCTGGTGGTGGTGGTACACTACTGCTGGTGGTGGTGGTACACTACTGCTGGTGGTGGTGGTACACTACTGCTGGTGGTGGTACACTATTTGCGTGGTGGTACACTACTGCTGGTGGTGGTACACTACTGCTGGTGGTGGTGGTACACTACTGCTTGGTGGTGGTACACTACTGCTGGTGGTGGTACACTACTGCTGGTGGTGGTGGTACAACTATTTGCTGGTGGTGGGACACTACTGCGGTGGTGGTACACTACTGCGGGTGGTGGTCACTACTGCTGGTGGTGGTACACTACTGCTGGTGGTGGTACACTACGTTTGGTGGTGGTACACTACTGCTGGTGGTGGTGGTACACTACTGCTGGTGGTGGTGGTACAATACTGCGGGTTTGGTGGGGTACACTACTGCTGGTGGTGGTGGTACACTACTGCGGGTGGTGGTGGTACACTACTGCTGGTGGTGGTGGTACACTACTGCTGGTGGTGGTGGTACACAACTGTTTGGTGGTGGTGGCACACTACTGCTGGGGGGGTGGTACACTACTGCTGGTGGTGGTGGTACACTACTGCTGGTGGTGGTGGTACAATACTGCTGGTGGTGGTGGTACACTACTGCTGGTGGTGGTGGTAACACTACTGCTGGTGGTGGTGGTACACTACTGCTGGTGGTGGTGGTACAATACTGCTGGTGGTGGTGGTACACTACTGCTGGTGGTGGTGGTACACTACTGCTGGTGGTGGTGGTACACAAATGCTGGTGGTGGGGGTACACTACATGCTGGTGGTGGTGGTACACTACTGCTGGTGGTGGTGGTACACTACTGCTGGTGGTGGTGGTACACTACTGCGGGGGTTTTGGTGGTACACTACTGCTGGTGGTGGGGTACACTACTGCTGGTGGTGGTGGTACACTACTGCTGGTGGTGGTGGTACCTACTGCTGGTGGTGGTGGTACACTACTGCTGGTGGTGGTGGTACACTACTGCTGGTGGTGGTGGTACACTACTGCTGGTGGTGGTGGTACACTACTGCTGGTGGTGGTGGTACACTACTGCTGGTGGTGGTACACTACTGCTGGTGGTGGTACACTACTGCTGGTGGTGGTACACTACTGCTGGTGGTGGTACACTACTGCTGGTGGTGGTACACTACTGCTGGTGGGTTTGTTGCACTACTGCTGGTGGTGGTGCACTACTACTGGTGGTGGTGCACTACTGCTGGTGGTGGTGCACTACTGGTGGTGGTGGTGCACTACTGGTGGTGGGCAGTACTGCTGGGGGTGGTCATTACTGCTGGTGGTGGTGCATACACTGGTGGTGGTACACTACTGGTGGTGGTGGTACACTACTGGTGTGGTGGTACACTACTGCTGGTGGTGTTGCACAAACTGCTGGCGGTGGTACACTACTGTTGGTGCTGGTGGTACACTACTGTTGGTGGTGGTGGTACACTACTGCTGGTGGTGGTACACTACTGCTGGGGGGTGGTACACTACGTTTGGTGGTGGTACGCTACTGCTGCGCTGGTACACTACTGTCGGTGGTTGGTGGTACATACTGCTGGTGGGGGTTTGGTTAACTACCGCTGGGGGTGGTGGTACACTACTGCGGTGGTGGTGGTACACTACTGCTGGTGGTGGTGGTACACTACTGCTGGTGGTGGTGGTACACTACTGCTGGTGGTGGTGGTACACTACTGCTGGTGGTGGTGGTACACTACTGCTGGGGGGTGGTGGTAGACTACTGCTGGTGGTGGTA